CACAGACGCGATCGGTGTATTTATGGTGCCATGAAATGTATAGGCTTGGTCTTTGTACCTTACTTTAATTTTTAAATATAATCGAAAATAAAAATTTCTCATATTATTGTAAATAGTGACCATTGAATGTTTGTTTAAAAAAAGGAATCAAGCTTCACTATGAAAAAAATACGTAGTGGGGGGGGACACTGATTGCACTGCACTATTTATTACCCAATTTGTAAAATCTACAGTCTACAGTATTCCACTTCTCATTGTTATTTCAACGTTAAGAACTAGACATTCAAGAAAAAATTCAGAGTTATGTTATTGTTTAACGGAGGTCATAATTGACAGAGTAGCGTTTATATAGATCCTAATTGTGAACATATTGCCATTGAAAGGTGATAAATTTACAAAACATATACCCATTGCCTCGCTTAACCAAAATTCATAATTTTGTAATTAAGTGAAATGAAATTAATAATTTTCTTGCAGAATAGATTGGCATAATTAAGACATTTTACCAAGAAATTAGAAATAATATTGTTAATGGTCACCCTATTTTGATTTAATTCTATTGTTTTAATAAACACTATGTATTCCAGCATGTTATTCTAGCATTTGTGGAAAAAATATGGAAAAAAAATTGTTTTCTATTCGCTACGAAAATTTTTTTTGTATTTATCAGAAAAAATAATTTCTAACCTAAAAGTGCTTATAGAAAAAACTTTTTTTAAAACATTTTTCATTAATGGTTGGAAAATTGAAATTATGCTTGACTTAGTCTATTGAATTATTTAACAAAAAACTATAAAAACAAAGAACGATCAGTAAAAATTTTATTAAAAGTGTAAAAGAGAAGAAATTATTTAAAACTTTCTTTTTCGTAATTTGAGATTTACGAAACACTATGTGTACATAAATGCATACCATCTTAAAGAACATTATCAAATCGAGTATCGCAACCCCGAACTATAAAATTAAATTTTCAGAAAAAAATATTCAAAAGTGATTAGAAATTTAACATATCGTAAGATTTAGTGTCTAAGAACAAATTTTCATTGTACTTATTTATTTAAAAGCGTTTAGTGATATTTTTTAAGTTCTTAGTAGCATTATTAGCGAAGATAAGCTATTCGTGATACGAGCTTAGATGAAATTTAAATGATTTATTTTTTACAGTTTTCATTCATGTAGGAATTTTATTTTGATGCAACTGTATTGGATAACTTACTAGATTCACCCTTGTTTGTTCTGTAATTTGTAGCAGTTCTTGTTGCTTTGCTATCCGTGATGATTGAAGATACTTTTTTAAAAATAAAAGCTCCTGCATTTATTACTGAGTTTATTATTTTTCTGTATTGTTTTCTGAGTTCGCCTACGTGACAATTCCAGTTTAATTCATTGTCATTTGTTAATGCAAGATATTTATAGGTTTTAACACTTTTAATGTCATTAGCATTTTATATCAAGCCTTTTTTATCAATTGTATTAAATATCATGTATTTTGTTCTAGGGGGATTCAAAGTCAATTCTTCATAAATACAAGGATTTTTTTGTTGTTAATTTTATTTTGCATATTGTTATAATTATCATCAGTGAGTTCCACATCTAAATCATCTGCATACATGTATATTTTACCATTGAGGGCAATATTGGCAATTTACATTTATGTAATACAAAAATAGCTTTCGCCCCAGTAAACATACCCCGAACTAACTAAACCACTGAAGTAATCTATATATTCAGCTTTACTTTTCATATTTCAGTATTTTGTGTATTATTTTCTGCTTCGAGATAGCTTACAAACCATTTAAATTCTGTTCTAGATACCACCTAGACAGTGTAATACTTTCAATAGATTATTTCGATATATTGAGTCAAGAACTTTTAACAGATCGAAAAATATTATGGCTAGCTCCGTTTTGGAATACAATTCCTTGTCAATATGAGTTATAAGATCAAATAACGTAGAAGTTCTGCTTGATTTGTTTTTGAAAACAGTATTGCCTTTCATACTTAATATAGCACGCTTTTCTATGTTGTAAAACTAAGTATTAACTAAAGTTGCAATTATTTTTGAGGCTATACCATCCTTACATATAAGAATAAATTTACTAATTTTACGGCAACCTGGAAAAGTACCAGATTAAAAAGTGTCTATGAGTGATAAGTGAAGAATGGAGTAATTTCTTTCTGACTTTCCTTGAATAATTTTTCTTGAATATTTTCATATCCTGATGGAACCTAAGTTTCGTATGAAACTTTTCATATTAGAAAAACTAATGATTTTAATTGTAGACTAATGATTGTAATATAAAGTAGAATACCTATAGTTTATTTATTTTTCCTCAATTTGCTTTATCTACCTTTCTACGATTAAGCAAAGCCATATATTTGAATATCATATAAAATTTCCTTTTTAAATTACTTTTCGCCATTCCAGTCATTGATTTATTGCCAAAATTGTTAGAGCACAAGTAGTTTACACCATCTTACACTACGATGTCACAATACATTTAATGTATAACAGCTATTACATAATGTCTATAATGTCAATTTATAAAATTCTTACACAATTTCCAAATATTTACTTTTATAGTATTAAATTACGAGCAAAATTATCAATATTTTTTCACCGATTTCCTATAAACACACAGAATTTCCCTTGACAATAAACCCTAATTCCCAAAAATAAGATTAAATTTCTATCTATATAATTTTATAAATTATAATAATAATTAATTAAGTAAATAGAAAAATAATACTTTAATAACAATAAAAATTTTTTTTGTCCTTCTCTTTTATTATTGACTTGTATTGTTTGGAATTGCCAAAAAGGCAAAGAGAAGTTAAATAAAAAAAAAATTTCTGTACTCTTATAGTTTTGTTTTGGTGTGGGAAACATAATTGACAAGTTGTCCTTTATTATCAAAATAGCATACCAATTGTAGACACTCATACAAAAAGGTAAAATCATTCTCGAATTACAATTATTTTTTGAAATTGAATTATTGTAAAAACATTAATAAATTTGGCGTTAAAATACAAGAATATCGATTTTGAAGAAAAAATTCGTATAGGCCTTTTCTAGTATAATAAAGCAGGAGTTGTCTTACAACCATTTTCTTTTCTCTTCCTTTTATATTTATTCAATATAAATGAATTTTCATATTCTATTACCATATATGGGTTGGGTATATTGTGTTTTACTACACACACACACTAATTATATTATGGTTTGGTTGTAATATTTAAATACTTTAATTGAATAGAGACTTGAAGGCGCCATCAAGGCCAATATTTTTTATTTCTGGTTTTCATTTCATTTCGAAAAAGTGTGTTTGAATTCCCATTATGTTTACATTTTATATACATACTTTATATGTGTAAAGCAACAGAATTCAAAAAACTATATGGAAAAACTGCCGAAAAACAAGAAAAACAAAAATATTAAAAAAAGAAATGACATTGAATAAAAGCGGTGCGTTATTTTCAATAAAAGGAAACTTATTTAATCGTTAAATAAAAATATACAAGGTGTATAATATTTATGTGTGTGTGTATAGACGACGTCATCATCTTTTATCGAATATTATTGAATATTATTATAAATTTGATTGAAATTATGCAAACGTAATATACAAAATATGGGCCTTTTAATGTCTCTGTTATATTAAAGAAGAATATGAAAAAATAAATTTCAAAAAGTAAAAAAAAGTTCAAAGGTTATACAAGAATAAGAAATATAGAGTGTAGTATTTTACAAAATATGCGTACATGAATGCGGTAAATGTATGCGTATTGCGTATAAATAGTTTAAAAAGATTATTACGTGGTCTTTATACAAGAAATTATTAATGTTTTTTTATTTTCTTTCTTTGATATTTCACTTGGCCACAGCGTTCCCACTTGGATACAATTGTATCCATTTGGATACATTTTTGCTTTAAATTTGAGCTTGGATACAAAGATACTCAAATCTGCTAAAATGCCGAAATTGGCTACATTTTAAAATTTTACTGAAATATGGATACATTTTTTTTCAAACACTAAATAAATATTACAAAACAGTTAAAATGCTGCTAATATTAAATCGCGAAGTTGCTTTATCATCAATAAATGTTATTTGCTGGCTATTCTAAGCAGGTTTCCGAATTTTTTATAAGAAAGTAAAAAAGATACTTTATTAACTGCCTCTTCCTGTATTCAAATTTAGAAAATTCATACAAGAACGTACCAAAAATATTTTAGTGTTAGCTAGATGTAATAGAAAATGCATTGGATGTACATATTTTTTAAAATTTGTCCGTTTTCATGGTCAATCGTCTTTACCGCATAGTTCAACAACTACAGAAGGCATATATGCGTATGTTTTTTCTGACCTTAACTTTCACATTTAAAATATAATAGAAGTTGTATGTGATTTCTTAAAGAATTTAGTATAAATAACAAAACTCATGTTGTGGAATGAAGCAAATTAATATTAATTATGGGTTAATTTGTACAAAATAAGAGACTTATTATAATAATGCTATTTTACGAGGTTGGATACATTTTGGATACATTTTTTTCTCGAAATTGGATACATTTTGTTTTTTCCGAGTGGGAACACTGCTTGGCCATCATATTGAAATAATTGGTTATTTTAGATTTTTTTCATTTTAAATTCATAAAAAAGGCGATTAAACGTGTTAGTTTTTTACATCAAAAATATTATAAGAACATTATGTAATTGGCGCTTAATTTATAACGTTTTCAAATGGTGATATTTGGGTAGGTTCTACATTTGATCAAGTTTAGTAAAATTTATTAAAACTGCTTTAATTTTTAATACTAATTATTAATCAGAGGATTAAAATCTCTAATCTTACTAATTTAATATGCAAATATTAATTAGATTATTAATTTAAATTAGAATTAAAGTTGAATATTTATAAAGTATTCATTATTTTAAAAAATAAAAAATTAATTGTGCGTAATTTAAAATATTTAATAATAATATTAATAATTCGTACCTTTTACCATCATCAACATCAACCAATAAATAAATTTTTTGATTTTCAGATTGACGTAATTTTTGTGCTGTTGTTACAGCTTTTGATAAACCCTGAGCTCTAGCTGAATTTTCACCTACGGTATTAATAATTTCTTGCATTTTTGTTGATGTATCTCTGGCATTGTACATATATAAAAAATATTTAATTAATATTTTATAACACATATTTAAAAATCTTTTACTTACAATGCCGATCTACGATCCCCACGAAAAGTATGTGGTAATAGATTAACTCCAACCCTTGCTATTGGTTGTGAGAAAATTGGTTTTAAATCAAATCTGAATTCCATTTTTTTCTCTTTATGTTTTCTGTTATGGTCTTCTTAAATTGAATTTATTGTATATATGTATGTATTTAAAAGCACACTTCAAAATGTTCGCACCAAATAATTTATTATTTCGATTTTTTTAACCAAAACTGAAAATAGAATTGAGAAAAAAAAGAAATACATTTTTAGAAAATCATTAATAATATTAAAGGATTAGCATACTTAGATTTATAAAAAAAAATTAATTAACAAATGAAAATTGATTAATTTTCAGAATTAAATATTCGAGTTAACAGAATTTACTGTATACAATATATGGACTCGAGCTAAAATAATAAAATTATTATTTACGTAAAAGGCAAATTGCTCTTTTTGTCTAGAAAATTAAGTTTTTTGAATTCCTTCAGATTTGCTGAGGATCCTCTTGTGACCTCGAGCAAATCAAGACATGAAAAAATTTTTTTAATATAACAATTTTTGCTGCCATTGTGTACCAGGTACAATGCATTATACGTAATGAGATGATAAACATTACTACTAATACTGCGCCATAACACTGACTCAAATATATACTACTGATCTGACATTATTGTCCACAATAATAATTAAATTATTTACTCATAAAAATTATTCAGCTATAATTTTGTTTACCCTTCAATAAAAATTACGCAATAATATTTTTTCCTTAAATTTTGAAATATTTAAATATTAAATTTAATAAAACAATAAAGAAAAGCAAAAACCAAAGAAAAAAGTATGAAGACTTCCGAAACAAATCATTGTGTTGCTGTCGTATACTACAATGAATGAATATCATTAAAAACAAATTTTTCCAAACGTTGTAATTACAATAATAATTTGCAATCATTCACTCAATTGTCAAAATATAAAAAAAAAATTTACTTGTAACACATACAAAAATATTTTCATCAATAACACCGGAAATTAGAAAAAAACTAAATGTCATAATTAAAGTAATAATCAAAATTTATGTATACCCGCTCACCCACTCATACTCATACATGTATGAATGTAGATTGATCATATAAGTATACAAAACTCACCACCCCCTATTCAATTTTTTGAATTGTCCACAATTTTTAGTCATAAGAAAAAAAATTTTTTTTTTTGTGCGTTTTTTTTTAATTTGGTTTTTTTTTTTTTCATTACCGACCAACATGTTACCGAGGTCAGTTACAATAACCAGTCAAAATTAAGTAACTGACCTTGTATGAACATTAATGTTGTGCTAGTAGGTTTCTTTTTTTCGGCTTTTGTTATTTTGAAGTGTTGTTTATTATGTTTTGTTCATTTTGCTATTGAATTGCATAAATTTTTGGTATATTATGCAGAGATCCTTGTTAAAATGGAAATTTTCTTTTAAATATTTATGATTGACTCATGCATATACAAAATAGCTAATGTGAAAATTTTGTATTTATTATGAAAAAATAATTAAAATATTAAGAAAAAAATTGCGTTACCAAACACGATAGGATTAATAATTCTCTAAATTCTATAGAAGAAATTAAATAACAAACTTGTAAATATGAACTTGTCCATAAATTATAAGTATGTACATGTATGTTCATACATGTATGAGAAAATATACAACTAAAGAATAAATTAAAACTTGTTTTTACCATGTGCGAATTAGATTTTTTATTTTTTTTAATTAAGTTCAAGTGGGTGTCGTGTTTTTTATTTCAAAATCAACTTTCTTATGCTTTTCTATAATATACGAGTATAGTAATATGAGGAAATAACCAGTTTAACAACGAAATTCTATAGTGGAAATTATATAATCTTATAATATTATTTATGGTTAAAATGAAATTGAAATTTTCTATAAAATTATAATTATATTTATTATCAATATTATTTACTATTTTGTTATACAAATATTGTATATGAGCAAGTACATAAATTCAATAAAAAATGAAACAGATTTTTAGCACATTTCCTATAAAATTGAAATAAATTATGCTTATTAATATTAATTTTACGTCCATTCGCTGAACCTGCTCACACAAAACTTCAACGTACTTTAAGAAAGAAAGCTGTAGTTCACATAAATTCAGTTGTCACAATGAAATATCTACTTCTACAAGAAAATTATGTCCTAATCGGCTCAATTAAAGACCTTCTATAAAACATAACAATGCCAGTATTTTTCACTTACCGTTTCGAATTAGCAAACACTTGTTAATTCACCTTGTTAACCTAATTGAAACCATACTTTTATTTCTTTATAATATTAAATCTTATTTTATTTTGTTATACTTCTAATAGTTTACAATTATCTGTCCATTTTTCGTATTTAAGCATTTTGCATGTCTTAACTGTGTGTATGACTGAATGTATAAGCAAAAAACGAAATTTTCCGAAATAATATTCTGGTCATATTACGAATAGTTGCTATTGCTTTATTATTAAATATTCAAGCTATATTTCATGCTAAATTGAATTTTTGTTATATATTAAATTTTAAAATTTTAGCTTGAATAAAATATTAATCAGACATTTTATGCAATTATTATAAAAAATTAAAACTATTCATTAATAGTTTCAGCTAAAATTAAAATCCTCTTATCGAACATTTATAATTTCTACAATTAGGTAATAATGAATTACAATTTTTTTTTTACTGATATTTTTATGTAATTTTGTCTACAATTCGAGTTAATTTCCATTTAAAGGTATATAAGTAAATATACTGTTTATTAAAATGAAACTTGAAGCAGTCATAATTAAGTTTTATTATAAACAATTTCACACTAATTGTTAATACACTTGAAAAATTACACGCTTTATGAGCTTCATTTTGTTTTTATGTCTATATTTTTTTATTATTTTTCTTCATTTTTCTTTATTTTAGAATTACATACATATTGTAATATCCTACTGTATTTCAATATTGACTTTTATATATATTATAGTCTTTAAAACAAAAACAATGTTCACAACAAAAAAAAATACAACGGAAATCTTTGCAATTATTCACCATAGTTTATACCATGTACACTTACAACACATTTTTATTGACAGTGAGTATGTGTGTATATACATTGAGTAAAATTTGTTAGGGTATTTAAAATTATTAAGAAACTTACAAGCAACAATAATGAATATTAAATTTTAAAGAAAATTGTTGATGCAATTGAATGCAAACCAATTTCCAATTTTTAAAATACGTAATATTAAGCATATTGAAAGAAAGCTTCCATAAATTTGGAATTCGCGCTTATATTCCGTGCGACTATACTTACCACTGTGCAAACAGTGGATAATAAAATACTAAATGAGAAACTTATTTCTGAGATGTTGTACATTGTATATTGTATATTTCAAAGGAATCGAATGGCTGCAGTGGCTCTTGGGGAAAAGTCCCTTAAACAGCCATTCACGATATTTATTGTAGTCCACATAATCCGGCCTACAATATCTCAGTTCCAATTATAAGGCTGAAGATATCTCCAAGAGAATTATGAGCGGCACTTTCCGAAAGCTTAGGAAACCATGTCCGAAAAAATTACGACTCTGGACAATAGCAAACAGTCGTGAAGGGTGTATATGCAGTGTTCGTTACTGCTCGCATTGAATATACAGCTCTCATAGAATTTTCTACAGCTAGTACCGATGGATATACTATATATAATCTGAAATTTAGTAGTGAAGTGACTAGTGAGTTTACTGTCTCTCTTTTCTATAATTTTAAGAAATTGAGAGTTAAGAGAAAAAAGATAATATTAATTCTTTATTATAAAGAATATATATGAGAGACTGCGGAGAGTAAGATTATTAAAATAATTAAAATCCAATGTGAATAGCAGAATATATTTTTATACAATATTTTTATTTGGCAGGAGAAATGCCATTTGAAAATTTAATTAATTTTTTAATATTCGGGGGAGAAATTTAAAAAAATTTAAAAGAAATTATTTAAAAAATTAAATTGAAACCTGTTCACTTAAATTATATGAAAATTTCCATTAAATTAAATTAAAAACTTTTTTTTAATTAAATAGAAATTTTAATAAATTTTTAAATTTTTGCTTTCTAATTTTTTAATCGTACAAGTTTATCTAGTGCGAAAAATAATTATACTTTACATAATTTTAGCTTTTAATATGCACAGAAATTTATTCATAATAAGTATATGATTAAAGTGCTCATTCTCTATAATAGATTTTTTAAAAACCAATTCAAATGTTGAAACCATAAGTATAACAAAAAGAAATTGTTTTTTAAATAAGTGAGTAAATTTATGTACGAAAAATAATGTAAAATAGTTTAGTGAACAAACAATATAAAATTATTCGTATTTGTAAGTATGCATACTAGACTTACATAAAATATTCAACAAAATCAACGAACTCTATCAAAAAAAAAACTTTTATATTTAAAAACAAAAATAAAATCTAATATAGTTAAAAGACAATTAAAAATAAGTAACTTCTATATTTTAATGAACTTCACAAAAGATTTTGTAATAGTGATAATGTTAAAACATAAAAGGAAATCTAATATAAGTTTGTATGGAAGAAGAAAAAGTAAAAAAAAAAATAATAATAATAATACGGAAAAGCAAAACTAATTTAGATTTCTTTCTCATATTATAAAAAATACACACAGAAAAAAAAACACAACGAAAAAACAATTGCATTACCGCTGTTATGGCGCACAACTAAAAGAAAGTTGCACAAGTTAATTTCACTTTCAATCTAATTTGGTTGAAGTTTTTTTTTTTCATTTTCTCTCCCCTTTTTGTTTTTTTCTACGTTTTTTCCGTTAAAATAATAAAAATGTTTTATTTTTGTTCACCGCAAAGGTTACTTTCAAAGAAAATTTGTGTACCTATAAAAAAAGTACCTATTTTCTGATTTTTTAATTTTTGAATCTGAAAACCAAAAACCATTTATGTATGTATGTATGTAGTGCACGTAAAAGCAAAGCCTAGGTAAGCGAGATAAGAAAAACCTTGTGTTTTTTTTTCCATTTTCATTAGAAAGAAACCTTTTTAATCATGATTTTAATTTTTCTTTTTTTTTTTTTTTGATCGAAAAAGACGAATG